TGTGATTCCTTAGGAGCTGATTGATATCTGGCACACATTCTCACACTAAACTGAATGCTTGGTCTACTTGTCTTGAGGTAGAATAGTGACCCAATCATTCCTCTATATTTGGTCAGATTTACATCTTTGCCTTTCTCGTCTGCGTCTAGTGATATGGTTGAACTCATGGGAGTCTTTACACTCTTTGCATGTTCTAAACCATATTTCTTTAGCAGTTCTTGAGATATTTCGTCTGGGATATGAATGTTTCGTTTTTCTTCTATTTGATTTGCAATCCCAAGAAGAAATTCAATTTTCCTATCATTAGCATCTCAAATTCACCCTGCATTGACTTAGCAAACTCTTGGCAAAGATCATGATTAGTAGTACTGAATATAATATCATCCATATAAATTTGAACAATTAAAAGTTCTTTCTTATTTCTTCTGATAAAGAGTGTAGCATCTACTTTGCCTCTTTCAAAACCTTTGTCTATCAGAAAAGTGCTAAGTCGTCATATCATGCTCTAGGTGCTTGTTTTAAACCATATAAAGCCTTGTTCAATTTTTAAATGTGATCAGGGAGATTTGGATCTTCAAAACTAGGGGGTTGTTCAATGAAAACTTCTTCCATAATATAACTATTAAAAAATGCACTTTTAACATCTATTTGATGTAGTTTAAAATCTTTTATGCATACAAAGGCTAAGAGTACTCGTATGGCTTCCACTCTAGCTATTGGAGCATATGTTTCCTCATAATCAATACCTTCTTCCTTATTATAGCCTTTAGCCACTAATCTAGCTTTGTTTATGATGATTTGTATAGATTGATCGAGCTTATTCTTGAATGCCCATTTGGTGCCTATGACTGGATGGTCATTAGGTCGGGGTACCAAGTACCAAACTTGATTCCTCTCAAATTGGTTCAGCTCTTCCTGCATTGTTGCTATCTAAAATTCATCGGATAGAGTTTCATCCATATTGGTTGGTTCAATGTGTGAGATAAATGCAGAGAAACACACTTTATTGAACACTTTTCTTCGGGTTTTGACCCATTCATTGACTTTACCAATGCCTTGTTCCAGATGATGGTTCTTGTTATGCCTCCAAGCTTTAGGTTGTTCTAGATTTTCTTGAAAAAGATTTTTATTTGAATTATTTTCAACATTTTCTTCAGAAGACACTTTGTTTGAAGATTTGTTTAAATTCATTTTTTCAAAACTTTGAATGATCTCAGCATCATCATCTAGAGGTTTTGAAAGTGACTCAGTTTCAACAAACACAACATGAATTGATTCTTCAATAGTAAAGGTTCTTTTGTTAAAAACTCTATATGATTTACTACAGTTAGAATACCCTAGAAATAAACCTTCATCAGCTTTAGGATCAAATTTATCGAGATTTTCTTTGTTGTTGTTGTGGATGTAACATTTGCTTCCGAAGATCTTTAGATGAGCCAAGTTAAGCTTCCTTCCCTTGCATAGCTCATAAGGAGTCTTCCCGATTAGCGTTCTAATATATGCTTTGTTGGAAATATAACGGGCTGTGGTCATAGCTTTTACCCAGAATACTTGAGAGATTCCCTTTTCATTTAGCATCACTCTAGCCATCTCTGTGAGCACTCTATTATTTCTTTCCACAACTCTATTTTATTGAGGAGTTCTAGGTGCTGAGGAGTTGTGGTCAATTCCATGCTCGTCACAATAGTCCGTGAATTCATTGTTCTTGAATTCTCCTCCATGATCAGTCCTGATAGACACAATAAATATACCTTTCTCATTTTGGACCTTTTTAGCAAAAATGATGAATGCACTAAATGTTTTGTCTTTGGAGGAAAGAAACAAAGTCTAGGTAAATCTTGAATAGTCGTCAACTATTACAAGAGTATATAAGTTTCCACCGAAACTCTTGACTCTCGATAGACTAACCAAATCCATATGAAGCATTTGGAGTGGCCTTTCAATTAAGATTGTCTTCTTTTATTTGAATGAGGACTTTGTTTGTTTACCCTTTTGACAAGCATCACAAATAATATCATGTTCAAATTGAATTTTGGGTAAACCAATAACTAAATCCCTTTTTGGTTAATTTTGAAAGCTGATTCATATTAACATGAGCAAAACATTTATGCCAAAGCCAACTTTTCTCATTTTTGCTAACAAAATAGTTTCCAGAGAGTTTAGAATCAATTTGAATAATATAGCAGTTATCGTTCCTTGAAGCTCTTAGTTTTACGTTCAATTCTTCTTTCTTTAGTGGTAAGTCATCTTTAATGATGATTAGGCATTCTTCTAAATTGAAGATCACCCAGTTATTCTTATCGGTACTCTAATTGACACTGAGTAGGTTGTGACATAGGCCTTCAACGTAGTAAACATCTTCAACTTTTATTCCCTTATCACTTCCTATTTCTCTGATTCCAGCAACTCTCCCAGACTGATTTCCACCAAAGCTCACTTTTCCTCCTTCTTTTAGTTTGAGTGATGAGAACTTTTTAGTATCACCTATCATGTGTTTGGAGTATCCATTATCAATGTACCATTTGTTTATTCTGGATGCCTTGAGACATACTTACAATAGAAGAATCACATTTTAGGTACCTATACCTTCTTGGGTCCTTTCTAGTTAGTACGATTTGTCCTAAGTACATAAGTACCTTTGGGCACCCATTTTAATGTTTTGTAAGTCCCTTTGTAACATCTCACATAATTATATCCATATACGCGATAAAATACTTCATTTAAGAGCCCATACGTTACTAACACTCTAAAAAATTCATAATTTCAAAACATTTTTCTGAGACAACAAAATAAAATAAACTATTGAAGTCTTATAGTTATGGCAATTAAAAATATAACGTAGCATGTGCTTAAGGAGCACAGAAGCCTTCACGGCTCACTCTATCGGTGCCTTTACTTGAGTCCTACTAGATTATTCACGTAAAAATGTTAATATAAGGGATGAGATCAAACGTCTCAGTAACTACTGAAATTCTAACCTATACAGGCAGATCATATGTGATAAACAAAAATCCCTTTATAGGTATGTATATATATATATTTATATATGAAAATCACAGATTTGATTCATTCACCTCAATTTCATTTTTGATTCAACAATATACCAATATCATTTTTCCAATATATCCAAAATAATGCAATATGCAGCCTCTCTTATATCACCGTCTATCATTATACCGCTGACTGGAGCCATAGGCTAACACATAGTCTAATAGGAACTAATCTATTTTACTGAATTATTCCAAGCTCATCGATATTAGAATATAGGGTTAAGGAGCAAATTTAACAATAAAGTTTTCATAAAAGAGCACCAGGCACCATAATGTTTAGTAGGGGGCATGAATGTGCATGAAGTTGGCAATTGGGAGCAAAATGACCACTTTCGTCAGAGCATGTAATGTTGATCAAATACAAGAAAATGGTTGGACTGAAATGGAGACGTGGCATATGAGATGGAAAATGCAAAATGGAAAATGGAAAATGAGAAAAACAAAAAAAAACAGCATTTGGGAAAAACTGAAGACATCGGTGAAGTAGGGAGACGAATGGGAAGAGCGACAGAGAAAGAGAGTCATAGGGTTTGTGATTGTGGGAGAAACAGAGCGATTAGCGATTAGCAATTAACAATCAAAGAAAGTAAGCATTGCAGAGTTGGGGGTGTAAAACGAAACTGAAGTCCAGAGAGGGAGAGGAATCTGCGATAGTTCACATGAGGAGAGAATCTTTCCAAGCAACGCAAAGGACGACCGAGATTCCTGAACAGTAAGTATCAATTTGGGGTAAATATAGTTGTTTTATTATTGTAATAGTGAAATGGCATGGTCCCCATGAGTAATTTCTTGAGTTGTTTATTTCAGAGGGAAATAGTGACAAACGGGAAAGGTAACAGAGACGAAACTACAGAGGCAAATACAAAGCAAAATACGGAGCAAAATACAGAGGAGACCTTCTAACAAAGACATGCAAAGCTATTGAATAAGGTAAATGAAATTTGTCTGCTGGCAAGAAATAGCTGGGAAAAAACAAAGGCTAGGTTGCGTGAGGGACACAGTAGTATAGCTGAAAGTATTCCAAGGCCAGTGTTTCTGAATGATCGACGGAAAGGTGAGAATATAGATGTAGAAAATATTGATGAAGTAGACGATATTGATGGACTTGATGATATTGTAGAGCTAGGAAATGGATTTGATGTAATTGGTGATGCAGGAGTAGATGGAATTTTTAGTTCAAAGAACATTGATGATGATAGGGACAAAGGGAAAGCAGTACTCCGGGAGGAGGTGGACAGATTTAGTAGCAAGGAAGAGAATGAGAGAGAAGGGGAAAGTGAATGTGATTGTGAGATTGAGGAAGTCAATAGACCTGACAATGATGAAGAGAATGATAGTGAAGCTGATGATAGTGAGGATGAGAGTTACATGGAGCAAAGTGAGAGCTCAGATACTGAGGAGAGTGTGGAGGATGATTTTGAAGTAAATGTAGAGGTTGAAGATGATGCTGGCTGTGATAGTGATGTAGAAGAATTAGGCTTTGAAAATGATAATGGGCTTCCACAAGAGAGGTATATAGATGTTGGGCTTGATGGGCTTAAGGGTAGGCCTTTTTTCATGCTAGGGATGACGTTTATGGACAAAGAAGAATTGAGGAGGGTTGTTGATAAGTATGCCATTGAAAAAGGAGTTAATATGAGGGTAGTGAGAAGTGAGAAAAGGTTGTTCAAAGCTCAATGTCAAGTGGGCTGCCCATTCTGTCTATATGCCTCTAGGGATGGGCCAAATGTGGGGTTCAAGATAAAGATATTATGCACTGAGCATACATGCGCTAGGGTTTATAAAAACCCTAGAGCTAGTGTAAGGTGGCTGGCAGAGTACTTTAAGGAGAAGGTGTAGGAGCGTCCGCAATTCAGTATTAATGACATGAAGAGAGAAGTTGAGCGTGAGTTGAAGGTGCATGTTAGCATATATAAATGTAAGAGGGCTAAGAGGATGATAATGCAAGAGATGGATGGCAGTTTTAAGGATGAATTTGCAAAGTTGGAAGCATACTGTCACAAATTGAGCATATCAAATCCGGGCTCAGATGTTGAAGTTGAGGTTAGCAATGAAGCTTTGGAGCAAGGTAGGAGAGTGTTTAGAAGGATGTATGTGTGTTTCAATGCATCTAAGTTATGCACTATAAATTTCTTGTTAGCTTCACTTGTTTAATTTAATTTTGTTAAGTAGTGTTCTTTCTTTTATTTCTATTTACCACATTTGTAATATATAAAGGTATGTCTATCCAAGTTGGGTAGAAACAAGGCTGTAGACCCTTTATAGGCTTGGATGGGACATTTTTGAAAGGGAAAGCCAGAGGCATTTTGCTAACAACTATGGGGATAGATGCATATGATTCCCTTTATCCCTTAGCTTTTGGTTTAACTCAAAAGGAGAATGGACACAGTTAGACCTGGTTTATTGGATGGCTGCAAGCTTCACTAGAACTTGAAAATGGTGGTCATATCATAATCATGTCTGACATGCAGAAGGTATACATGAAATGTTGTATTTACATGTTAGTAACTATTTTATTATGACATATATGCATCTGACATGCTTATGAATGCCATTTGATAGGGCTTACTGTCAGCAGCGAGTGAAGTGCTCCCTGAAGCCGAGCATAGGCTATGTGCTCGACACATATATGCCAACTGGAGTAAACAATGGAGAGGCAAGGAGTTGAAGAAGATGTTCTTCTCATGTGCTTGGAGCACATTTGAAGAACAATTCAATGATAACATGAAGGAACTTGGAAGGCTCAGAAAGCAAGCAGCCCAAGCAGCAGTTACATACAATCCTACAGCTTGGGTAAGAGCATTTTTCACTGCTAGGTGCCAAACTTGGATGGTAGATAACAATGTTAGTGAGAGCCTAAATGCTTGGATACATGAGTATAGGTTCCTTCCAGTAATTAGGATGTTTGATGGAATTAGACTGAAGATGATGGAGAAATGGGCTGATAGTACACGTATTGTTAGTACTTGGAAGGGAGACTATAGCTCAAAGTGCTTAGAGTTATTTGAGGCCAATAGGTTCATAGCTGCAACTTGTAGAGTTAGTTTTAATGGTGACGAAGGTTATGAGGTCAGTGAGGGTCAGGATAGACATACTGTTTATTTGAATAGGAGGATGTGCACATGTAGACCATGGGATTTAACTGGAATCCCATGTCAACATGCCATATGTGCTCTGTCCCATGCCAAGATCGATCCCATGACACAAATCTCACGCTATTATCATAAGGACATGTTCTTAGCTAGCTACATGACTAAATTGCAACCTGTGAGGGGAAGGCAATTATGGGACACAAATAGATATCTTCCTATGCAACCTCTACCTTTCGTGACCTTACCTGGGAGGCTGACGAAAAAAAGAGTGAGGACTGAAGAACCACAAAGAAGGAAGAAAATGAGCTCTGCTCAAAATGCACAAGTCACCATAAATGAATTATCAGCTCCTTTACGTGAGAAATTAAGCAAGAAAGGTTCCATTAATCGATGTAGTCTTTGCAGACAACAAGGACACAACAAATCCACTTGCAAAGAGGTAGTTTCTGTTTAATATGATGGTTATGTTATTTAAATTTATAGCTCATGCTAATGCCTTTTATTTTATATGGTGCAGGTACCTCCTTCATGTCATTGTTAGCCAAAAAGAACAAAGAGGACACATGATGCATATTTAGGGCAATCATCTCAGCAACCAGACTTGACTCAACAATCACAGCATCCTCAGGTGACACAACCTTCACAAACACCACAAACTCAACCATCACAGCTCCAGGAACACCAATCTCCACCTTCCCATCAAACTCGCAAGCCTTCTGGACCAACAAAACGGCCACCAAGAAGGACATGTGTCTACAAGCCTAGAACTCCATGTGGCATGGGAATAATAATTGATAAACACACAAGTAGGACTATATACAATGTTGGTTCACTATCACCTTTCTTATTTAACAACTTCGTCCCCAAAATAACTATTTTTTGTTGTTGGTTTTGTTGCAGCCTGGTATGCCTTCTCAAGTGGTCATTGACGAAGGAAGTCCACTGCCTATGGCTTATAATGCAGACTCGCAAGCTAAGTTCCCCATTCCAAATGAGAAGCAAATGAGAGTGACAAGGGCAACAACAAATAGAGCACAAGACAGTGAGAGGAGGATTAAATTGAATGAGCAAGGCACTGCAATTGTACAACCACCAACACTCCCATTCAAACCACCTGGGTTGCAATGGAGGGGCAAGGCAGCAATTACAACAACCCAACTCCAAGTGCAAACAAGGAAAAACACCAAGGCTACCTCAAGCAAACATAGTATATAGGTTGTTAAGTTGTTTGGTGTGGAATATTGTCTTTTGTCAATGGCCATTATGTAGCGTTTTGTCTTACGTTGGCGTAGACCATTATATGTGGCTGTCTATTTTGTGAAACCTAAATTGGCCATCTTTTGGGAGCATTTGTAATTAATAGGCATGAGATTCAAACCATTTAGTGATGAAATACTGAATGGTTCATAGATGCTTTCTTCCACATTTATGAGGTTTGCCTTTCCCACGTTTCCCCTCTTCCTTGCCAAATCTCCCTTTTTATGCATTATTTATCTACCATGATATATATGATGGCTGTTCAATTGCATTGCCATTTAGCTTTTGTGACATGTCATTCACATTTTACCCATTCAGCTTTTCCAAAATATTGCAACTATTAAATTCAAGAAAATTGATTAATAACTTCGACTTCATTAAATTACATAAATCAAATTATTCTCACCTAATAATATCAATTACACGACATCATATAAACCAAACTATTCAACCTACTACTTTATTCACTCTTTATTACTCTCTTACATTACAGAACCAACAACAACCACACCCATGTAATTAATAGGCATGCCATTGCCATTTTGAACTTCCTCTCCACCTTTCTAAGTTGACTGGCCTTTATCTGATGCCTACTCTGCAACTCTCTCATTTGTATTTGTACTGAAGCCAACTCGTCCAATAGCCTCTACCTATCATTTCCTCGTCGCAACATGCTATTCTCATCGTACAGTTTATCAATATTATCTAGCAGTTCTTTAATCACAGTATTAGCCCTCTCACCAAAATCACCATCATGCCAAGAGAAGTACCGACACCCACCATCCTGTCAATGGAGACCTCAACCATTACTACTCAAATCCAAACTCAAAATCAACTTCTATTGATTTACTGCTTACCTGGTCATAGTAAGGACAGCCATAAAACCTCCTCCTTGGGTTGCCTTCTGTCCATGCCGTCCATCGAGGTGCCACTATCCTATGGTGGCAATACTTCCTTGGCCCATTATAATCATCCTCATGATTGGGTTGTCTTAGCAAACACACCCTCCTTCTGGATCTTCCTGTTGTTGACGACAACGATGACGCTATTTGCAACAAGGACTTGCTTCGTTTTACTGTAGCAAAGCAACTCCAGATGGGTTTTGACTAGAAGTGAGAAGAGGAGATTTGTGGGACAGAAGACCAAATAGAAGACTATAAGACGAAGTGAGAGCAGATCGCGTCTTTGATGGAGTAGAAGAGGTGACTTGCGTCTTTAATGGAAGTAGAGGAAGCTGGTCGCTTCTTTAATGGAGGATAAACCTCCTTTGCTTTTTCAAACGGTCACGTAGAGCATTTCTGGGACCCACCAAAACTTAACTAACAGACGTTTGCCTACTGTAACGAAAGTGGTCATTTTGCTCCTAATTGCCAACTTCATGCACATTCATGCCCCCTACTAAACATTATGGTGCCTGGTGCTCTTTTAGGAAAACTTTATTGTTAAATTTGCTCCTTAACCCTAGAATATATCCAGCCAAAGATATAGAGATCAAGTTCGGAATATGGCTCTCCTCCTTTGTAAATAAAATAAGGAGGTGTCATATATCCCACAACTCCAATGAATTCCTGGCCAAAAGGAAAACATGGAAGAAGGGCCCTTGACAAGTGCCATCTACTGTGCACCGAGTGATGGCATACCACGTCGTAATTTTATATCCATATAAATCTCCTTCTATCCTTAGCCCAACAATACATTTGTCAAATGTAAATAATATTACATCATAAATACGTCCTCAAGTATATTATTAAAAATAAGATAGTAATAAAATTTCTATTCTATTTAACAGCAACTTACGATAATTCCATAGATATCAATATACTTAAATATTGATCATAATCAATAGTAATAAATCTTAACAAAATCAAGTAACATATCAAAACATTTATTTGAAAAATCATAATATTATATTTCAATAATATAAAAATTAGTAAATCTACAATATAATCATACACAATTCGCATGTACATGAAAGAATTTTCAGAGTTACCTGCTATCCTTTAGCTTACAAATAATCACACAAGGATTACTCCAAAATTCTCAGGAGTCTACAAAAATTGCACATAAATATTTATTAATATAAAACTCAAAACTATTCTTAAAATTCCTCTGAAATTCTAAGCTTACCCTCTAAACTAAAATTACATAAATATATTAAATCTCCCAAATCTAGCCATTTATAATAGATATAATATTGTTTTGAAAATATAATTTACATATAAGACTATCTGAATTTAACAATTTAAGTAAATATATTTTTATTACCCAAAATCTAAATATTTTATATTAAAATTCTTAATTATTCATCATAGTCTCCTTTAAAATTTTCCTCAAACTAAACAACTTCTTTGAATTATAAACAAACCTAAACTTTATTTAACTTCATAAAATTCTCAATTTATAGTTCTTTAAGCTTTCAAAAATTATTTTAGCAATATATCTTTGACCTATTTAATATTTAAACCAATTAAAACCTCAATAATATATTAAATAACTCAAATCAATTATTTAACTTAAATTTAATCAGTAAAAATTTTTGATATCTTCGAATAACAAATTTTTCAACTGAAATCTTAATTTAAGATTCTCAAAACAATCATATATTGTCAAAACTCCACGTTTACTCCATACCCAAATGGTAAATTTTTCTCTAAACATTATAATGATACTAATAATATAAAGCTATAAATATATAAAAAATATTCATAAAGGAAATTTGACAAAAAGAAGTAGTTTTGTGTACCTAAATGATTCACAAAACTTGTCATGTACTCTGCAACTCAACTCACTCACTTTCTTTTCCTTTCTGCCTCTTGCTCTCTCTTTCTCTACTTCTCACACGAAATGAAAGGAAGACAAAGGTTGTAGGTATTTAATACCACAACATTTGATTCTCTTCCTTAATATTCTTGCCTATACCTCATCCTATTCTCTCCTACAGTCGTCCCTCCCCTTTTTTTTATTTGTTCATTAATTGCGCCCTCCTTTTTCCACTGTCCATGGAAAAAGGTGGGGTGGGTTTTTTTTTAAAAACTAATAATAAAATATTATTTTAATTAATTTAAAATTTTTTTGAAATACAATTTTTTTAAAATATAGTATGTTACACCCTTTCTTCTTGTAATGACAAGAAGAGGTTGTATGACCCTTACAACTGTAATATGAACATAATACAAAAGGATTAGAAGAATGAATAGCATTTCTAAAGAATGTTAGATACGATTGACCACCACTTTTCTTCTTTCCCTTTTTCTTATCTTGAGTAGGATCATATCCTATTCTGGATTTATCCATCATACAACGTTGAGCTCCCACAATCACTTTGAGCATTTCACTACCCTTTGTGAATTTCTCCAAAGTTTTAGTGAGCTCCTCAATTTTCTTTCTATTCTGCTCACTTTTTGTGCAGATTGGAGGTGTGGTGTCTTTCTGCTTCGCTTATTGTTCCTCCAGAATTTTTGTCTTCTTTTTAAGCTTACCAACTCCTTAGTAATTCTTACTAGCTCAGAATGTAATGCATTATACTCAGATTATAATTCATCATAAGAGGATTCAGGAATAATTACCTCATCTGTCTTTGAATCTCTGTCTTCTTGTGCTACGAGACAAATGTTAGCCGTTTCTTCATCATCGCTATCCTCTTCTTTCGCAGAGCTATCTCCCCAGATTGACGTTACAAATGCCTTCTTCTTTTTGAACTTTGCTTTCTTTTTGTCTTTGTCCTTCATCTTGGATAGTTGAGGACACTCTGCTTTAATGTGTCCCGGCTTCTTACCTTCAAAGTGGATTATCGATTCTTTGGACTCGTTTTGAGATATAGAGGCTTTATGTTTTGATTGGAATCTTTTTTCAGCTTTGTTCCCATAGAACTTTTTCAATCTTCTAACTATGAGATCCATTTCATCATTCTCCAGATCCTCTTCATCGTCATCTTCACTCTCCTGAGTCTTGAGAGCGATGCCCTTATGAGTCTTCTTATTCATCTCCTTCTTGTCCTTCTGCTTGCTCTCATACTCTGCCAACCTTCTGAATAGTGCAGCAACAGAGCCAATTGATTCTCATGTTATCTCTTCAATGGCTGTTACCTTTGGCTCTGATTCCTTCATGAGACCGCTTAGTATTTTTCTCACTTGGTCTTCTTGACTATACTTCTTACCGAGTGCAGTGAGGTGATTGATGAGATGTGAGAATCTTACT